GCCACCACTTGACGAGTTTCAGGAACCACCTCCGTTTTTCGGGAGCAAACATAAATCTGTATTGCGTCCCTCCTCTCCGAAAGCAATGTGATGTAAACCACATCTCGTCTCCCAGCACGTTTCTGCTTATCCCTGCTGCTTCGGCGACTATGTTGAGCACCTGAGTAAGCTGTTGTCCGCCATATGAGCCCCCCCCCCCCCCCCAATTTATTCCAACCTTACGGAAGGAACCCGTCGTTGCAGTTGCTTCCTCACCGCGTTTTTTTGCTTTCCTGATCCTCGCAGATTTTTGTCAGGCCCGGGAATGCGTAGTCACTATCACGCCAATTGTGGTGTAGAGAAACACGCGCGTGGTCGAACCAACGGCTGACGAACGTCACGGCCTGGGCAGCTTCCTTTTCTTTCGGTAGCCGGTGAAGCGAATACGTCCGACCTGCCATAGGGTCGTGATCTGTCTTCCTGCCGCGTATCGTAAAACAGCCAAATCTGATCAGAGTGTCATCCTTACGCGACTTGCGTTGAAGCCCCAATTGAATGTCGCCCTTCTTCATCAGGAGTAATTCGTTGATTCAACACATTCCATAAAAGCACAGTAAGCACACAGCGGAAAACCACAAGCGCATCGTCATGTTGAACATGGTGTCATCTTGTAGAAACGCTATCAATTTGGAGAGCATCGATAACGACATCGGGGAAGCCCGCTTGGGAGTCCTCTCACGCCTTTTTGCTTTACTTAGGCCTGCCAAAATCTGTGTGATGCCGGCCGACCGTGCAGGATTGCCACGAGGAACGACTTGTCCATCTGCCGTCGGTTCTACAACCCAGCGATCGTGAGGGTGCCAGCCGACAAGCATTTCTGTTCTGGTGTAGTGCCATGAAAGAGCGGCCCGAAACTTTTGCGCAGGCCACTGGCTGGAGTTTGTCGTGGCAAGGCGATTGATATATGCGGCAATGACACCTGGAAGCTCAACGAAGCGCTGCTGGATGGGGTTGGGGTATCTTCCTTGCTTGCAGAACTCAACAAAGCGGCGCAAACTTCCAGTATAATCGACCCTTGCGCGGGCTTCAAGGCGCTGGTCAGCAAACTTTGCAGCAGTGAGGGCTTCACTGTACAGACGACTTGTAGCCGGAAGGTTCATTCCTGCGAGCTAAGCCCTGTGTCCTGAGAAAAGAAATATGAGTAATGAAATGAGGACTGTTGGCTGTCTGTCGCTGTCGCTGTCGACCCCATTTGTACTGTCGTCCCCAACTATACTTTCGTCCCCAAGTGTACGTTTGGCATGCGCAATGTGAGTCGTTTCACGGGAATGATGATTTTTGTGTCTCAACGTAGAATTAACAACACCTGACCACTATTTGCAAAAAATATTTTT